TTGAATTTGTTGAGCAGCCGCGTTTTTTTCTTTCTTTTCTTTTCTTTTCTTGTGTTCTATTTTGTTTTTTCTTTGCCCATTCCCTTGGGCGGGAAATTGGTGCACCGTCTTAAGCGGGAATACTGTGCACCAGCTATCCTTCTTTAATATAGTAAATAGATTTGAGAATCATACTTTCTGAACAACACATTTAAGGGGTTATTTTTTTTTTTTTTTTCAAAGAAACAAGCAATCACCTTTTCAACTTGCCCTCAAAGCCAGAAAAACATTTTGGTATGCACAAAGGCTATGGGATGGTGGAGGTAACAAGTTTTTTTCCAAATATTTTTATATATTTTCTGCTATCATTATAAAACATTGTATTCATCATCTTTTTTTTCAATCATAAATTAACATTTTAAATTTTTAACATAAAACAAAAAATTTGAGTGAAGCATTTGAAATTGGAAGTAACTAAAAAACTTCTCTGGAAGGTGAGTGACTAATAATGTATTTTATCCACAATAAATAAAAATTTTGAACTCAGCCAATGAACACAGATTGCCTTAAAATATAGACAGATTGAACAAAGCAATTTTCCACCTGCAAATGAGAGAAAAAGTGAGCTATATCGCTTTCATTGCCAAGTTATTTTCTTTTCGGTCCATCAGAGCACCCTCTGCAGTTCCTATAGGAACGATCACTGGGCAAAATTTTCTTGTGGATATATTTCTTTAAGAACCTGGGGCAAGTTCAGAACGATCTCCGCATATGCTGTTGGGAGAATAAGGTATATTAGCATCTACGGTAATCAGTAACAGGAATGCACAACAGGGTTACCACTATCCGACTGACCTTCAGGTAAACTCATTGATCGTAATGCATCCTCTGCATATGACAAACGAGTTGGAATAGGTTGAGTTCCCAGCACTCCATTTTCCCTAGTGTTCATTGTTACAGCATGCATTGGCCATGCAAGGACACTGACCCCTGTTGGAACTACGGACAGAAGATCCACCGCGTATTTAAGACTCAATGTAAGCTTGCTGCAAGTGGAAAAACAAAAGCAAACTTGAAAATTGGGGCATGTAGAAACCTAGATAGAATTTAAATCAGAGGGTTATAGTAAGTAGACAAATAATTCGTGTGAACACATGCATAAAAGGATCCACACATACATTGCCGCTACCAATATGGTTAAAGAACATTAATGCAATAAATATGTAGGATGGCAAGGTTGCATGAAAATACCATAACGAGAGAGAGAGAGAGGCATCAAATTGTCTAAATTAATTAACAAATCACAGCCAGTTATATCCGGAGATTAGTAGAAAGTTACTACTATTAGTTGGATGTGCATTGTGAAAGATAAAGAAAGATGCTTCCAGTTGTAAAAGAACTACCATAATCATGTAAAGGGTTGATACGAGATTAGATTGTCCACTTAGCTTCAGTATTTGACATAGTACAGCATGCAATATAACAGCTACTTCAATAAAAATAAAAAAATAAACAGATAACATTTTATTGCCTACAACCGGCACTCAAGGGTGACTTAGTTTCCAATATTGAACTGAAAAATCATTACAATTTATACGAGCACAGATATGGCTGAACAATACAAGAAATAAATTAAGACTATTAATTACCAAACCATAATTAATAGAACACGAACTAAATAAATGTAAACTGATATGGGGATCCATATTGTTTGCCTTTTAAGTTTGGTGCTTCATTTTGATAATAAAAGAGCAATAAAGGTCGTAAATCCCCAAGAGAATAAATAACTGACTACTCTACATAGCTCAGTTCATGCAAATCATAGATTAGAAATGGTACAACTTGTTGATCCGGACAATCCAGCAATGATGAACTTGTAAGCCATCAAAATAATGAGGTACAAGAGGTTCAGAAAAGTGGTGAGGAAAGAGCTGATGATACAATATAAAAAAAAAATAAAAAATTAATAAACAGAGGATCAAAGCATATACAGCAGATGCTGAATCTGCTTTTATTCTCTCTTTCATAGAGACTCGGCCAAAAATGTAATGTAAAGAGAACAGTTCTCTGTGAATATCTAAAAGTTTGAGGGGACAACGTGAAATGGTTGTATGTCGCATTGTAATTGTAAATTTCAGAGAAGGTATCTTAAACCACAATCACAGACTCCCTATACGATGATACAATTCCAGCATCTGTGACGTCACCTGGTATCGTGAAACTTCTGTGATTATACATCTTACCAAAATAGGAGGGAAAGGGAGCACGGGCAAGAAGAATGTGTTGTTCATTAAGGATTTATTGACAATCTAAAAATATATCTCAAGCATTATCAGAAGAACTATTCTTCAATGTGTAATCTACAAAAATAAATTAAGCCCCAGTTCATAAGTGAAATCTGCTGAAAGATTCAACAAAATGAAATATTTAGCAACCACATCATGCTATGTTGATATTAGTTTACCTTTCAATCTTCTGATATGTTCCCCTTATTAATCGAAGCTCTCGTACTTCTAAGATATGCCCAAGCACTGTCATTTCGTTTAACCTCAACATTTATTTTGTGCATGTTTGGCAAAGCTTATAATTGCTTATAAGCTGGTCAAGCTTAGCCAAGCAAGCACTTCGAAAACAGTGTATCTAACATGAAGATGGCAATGGGAAAGACGGGAGCAAATTTATCTAAAATCAGAATCATCTCCACTAAGGGCGTGTAACTATTTTTCCTAGGTGGTAGTTCAATAGAAAGGACATGTAACTATCTTTCCTATTCTATTAATTCTATAACATACGAAGCAACAATACATTCTTAGGAAAAATGTCCTTTTAACTACCAAACTCGGTACCTAAAGCACGGTTGATCTAGGTTGTTGTTCAATAGAAAGGACATGTAACTATCTTTCCCATTCTATTAATTCTATAACATACGAAGCATCAATACATTCTTAGGAAAATGTCCTTTTAACTACCAAACTNTCAATACATTCTTAGGAAAAATGTCCTTTTAACTACCAAACTCGGTACCTAAAGCACGGTTGGTCTAGGTTGCTGTTCAATAAAACTTATACTTGATAGGCATCTTACAATCAAACAAAATCCCTATAGCACTTTTCCGTTTGTCCAACTCACTAGTGTACCACGTATAACATCATTTTCACGTCCTCATTATAATAGTAGGACCGAAATACCTAAACCAATTACTTTTTAGGTCACTGTGATCCTCTACGATAAGTCCACATTCATCCTTATTCCAAAGAAGAAAAAAGGAGATTTATGAAGAAAATTCAAGTGGAGAAGAAGGCTAAAGCTCAATTTCACTCGGATTTGTTTCTTAGTGACGGGTTCCAAATGTTCTCAACACTCTCTTAATTTCAAAAATTTTGTAATATATTCCCTAAACATTTGTATATTATTTTCTTTTTTAAGCGCTAGATTGTGGTTTGCTGGGATGAATGATGTAACATAATCTTCGTTTTAATTCAAGTTTTCCTCATTTATATGATGTGATTGCTATGAGTTAATTGCCTTCATTAACTTGATAAATAAATTACTGTTTAGTGAATACGTTGGTCTCTAAGATATTATCATTCAATTTAGACCCCGTAGAAATCACCTTGGGTTCTAATTACAAGATAGAGATATACTTCTAGGCGTTAAGTGACCCATTTGGTAAGTCTCACCAATCATGATGCAATTGATTGGTTTATTAATTTATATAGATATATAGTAAACTAATGCAATCAATTAGGGTTAATTTCAAAATCAAGAGAGGTAATTAACTACATTAGGAGAATTGGGTCAATAAATTGAAAATGGGTAGGAGTGTAGGACATTAAATTACAAATTGCGAAGTTATAAGACACGGATCAAGCCATATCCGAATTCCCAACATATTGCTCATTCAATTTTCCTCAAACTTCAATTCTACTTGTTAAAATAGTTTTTGTTACACTTTAGTTTAGATTCTTCGAAAAAATTGATAAATTTGTGTGTTCGACTTTCGAATTAAGTTAGCTTTAGTTTACTCAATTGTGAATACAATAATCCCCGTTGGATTCGACACTCCTCATCACTTATTCCTTGTTCACGATACCATATCATTCTGGGATTTCATAGTCGCACACGAAACAACATTCTATCTACGTGCCTCAGTTCTAAATAATTAATAACCTAAAACGTTTAGATTCCAAAGGTCTTCAAAGTTCTAACTTACGATCTTTTAGTTTTGTTAACTAAAACTACATCATCGGCGAATAACATATCTTAAAGGATCTCATCTTGGATACATCATGCAACCTAGCACAAATAGAGGAAAAAATAAGGGTCAAGGTAGAACCTTTACACACAAGCCTATAGAAGTTAAAACATTTTCTACTATTACTGCCTAGACCAAATTTTCCATTTGTGATTACTCCATACATAATAATATGTTAAATAAAATATCATTCTCTCAAGCCCACACCATTTCTTATCCATTGGCACCATATCACAGACTTTTCTAGACCAAATAAAAACCACATATAGGTATTTTTTATTTTTTCTTTCTATTTTCAATTTAAGAATCTGTAAAATAGATAAAGAGATCCATTAATAAGATATTAACTTTGACAAGCATATTATTTATTCCAATGAATAAGAGACCAAAAATCACTATTTAAAACAATGTTTTTCCCAAAAAAAATGGCCACCAAACAGGGCCTATAAATAACAAGAAGCCTGAATAGTAGTTCAACTTTTTCAATTTGTACGCGTTGTGCTTCAATAAAATGTGAAAAACGAGTAAGACTCACGTAACTTCAAACAAGGCAACTGTTTTATAAAGACCAAGCTTGAAGAAAAGAAAAACAACAAAACTATGGAAGCAATTATGTTGTTAAAAAATTCACCAAGATAGACTAGGAAAATATATATACACGAGCAGGGTTACACCTACCAATCAAAATCATCAAGCACAAATTCAACCATATGATACGAAAGGCTGTGATAAAGTTCTCCAATTTGATTTCCATACAGTTCCTTTATAAGACGAACCTGGAGAAAAACAAGACGAGCAATTCAGAAGACGAGTTATAAAAATCAGAATATTCATGTCAAGAAGATACTGCAAAAATGAAACTACAATTAAAGGAACGCAAAGGATTTCATTATGTGGAAACCTACTTCAAAGCAAATGAAGTTTGATCATCTTAATGCAATATAAAGAAATTTTTTTGAAAGGTTTAAAAAATGCACCAGCCGGGAAACGAACCCAATATAAAGAAATACAGCAATAGAATATGTTCTCTTATATCATGCAGTCTCTTTACATCATGCACAATTCTACTTAAAATTCATTAGAGCAGATTTTTGCTAACAGGAGCTGCAGGCAACTTGAGAGTCTGAGACCTGAAGGCAGACTGCTGAAACCATAGCAACAGCCACAGCCAAAGGCAGCCTAGACATGGTGCAGCACAGTGTGCATCCACGCTGACTAATCTACCTAAATCCCCATAAAGAAGTAGGGATATCAGTTCCAAGAGTTCAAGAACATTCTACAGAAGCCTGCCTATATTGTAAACATCTTGGATATTTGTACACAAGTATATAGAGAGCATCTTTTAACCATTTGATTGAATTCATCACCCATGTCCACTTCTGGAGGTTACGACTTACAACTTTAAGGGTAAAGAGCTCATTTGCAATAATCAAGTTGTAGAGAGAATTAGAGAGCAATAAAAAGATTCTATTCTTTCAAACTCTCTCTTTATCTTCCTTGTGTGTCCTAAGTTTTGTATTTAGCTCCACACTCATTGTGGTATTTTGAGTAGTTGATCAATAAAAAGTTTCCATTCTTTAGTCATGCCTAACTTCATGAATCACTTGCTGCCAACCAAGCTTTGGTCTCACATGACCTACTGCTTCACAAGACCAAAAGGGGCGGATTTGAGAGAACCCAAGTCTCTCATGGATCCTTGAAACATCAAGTTCATAACATAGAGTTTAGTAGTAGAGTTTGGAATTGTCATATCATCTCTATTTTGGGACAAACATGGAAGGCGATTCCCTATAGCATCATATGGGTAATTTTTAGGAGAGTTACATGAGAATTTTTATGATTCTAAAAACTCAATTTTGAAGATAAAAAGCATTTAAATGTATCATTTATTCTTTGGAGAACATAGAGCATCCCCACCTTTCCGCAAGAGGATGGAATTTAATCACTTTTCCTTTCTATCTTGTAAGTAATTCTTAACTTCGATTCCTAGATATTGTTCTTTGTGATTTTCATAATGGAATTGATGAATTTTTTTAGAAAATTTAACATATACAACTGTTTTGTCTGAAATTAGTGAGCCTGTATAAACCTAAACAAAAACCTTTGTTTTACCATACTGTCTATACATGCTCATAAATTATCGGAGAGAATTGCCTCTCAACTCTGTAAATTGAATAAAACAAAAATATAACACGCAACATATAATTTGCAAGAAGAAAAGAAAAATCAGTAATTCAGCTAGTTAATCCAGATACTTCCATTTAAACAGAGGTAAAAACAAATTTATTTGAACAACGAGCCTATCTTCTTAGCCTAAGCCCCAAAGAGTGAAGCAATTGCTATCCCATAATTTTTGGCTTCCAAATGTAATAGGTCCTGCCCAAGAGGGATTTATCTCCTTGAGCAAGAATGTGGTTTACGAGGGATTTATTGCAACTTATTTGAATTTGTCGAAGATAAAAATGACTTCTCATAAACAAAATATTGCACCTTAAGATCATAAAGCAACTAATTTGACCCTTGAGTCCAAAAGGTCAATAGATGTCTATTGAAGGACTCTTCAACAGAAGGCCAACAGATGACTATAGCTACACTTGAGATTGCTTTAAACTATGCATTTCAACCTTTCACTCAAGATGGTTGCTGATCTGCTGCCATCACAAACTCAAGTTTGGGAAATGCTACACTAAGATCCATCTCCATCAACATTTTTCCATCTATACAGAACAGGGCTTGAGGGAATGTAGCATCTAGAGGATATAGTTAGGTTGAGGCAGTCTGGTAGTTCTGGAATTAGGAATGCATACTAAAATTACACACGTAAAGGGAAAACTCCTGTATTTAAAAAAAAAAAAAAATACATTTTTAGATCATTACTGCATGGTTGCTAGCATTGGACTGGGAATAACTACGTTCCGTAACTAGAAATTATGCTTACATGAGTAAACAATATGTGCTACTCAAACGAAGAAGAATTATTTGAAAAATCAAAACAAATTCATGCAAAAAAGGGAACATAGAAATACAGAGAGAATTAGGAAAGGGGAAAAAATTATTTTATATTATACAGTATATAAGAGAATTAAATTGAACCCTTCAAAGATGTATCTATAAAGGGACAAAATACCTGCTCTCGTCTATCAACATAAGCCTGTAATAAATCCCCCATGTGGTCTATGAATTTCTGAAACAAGATAAGGGCACTGATGCTTTGAGATATGTATAGTCAGCCAACGAACAATGAGATGTTTAAGCAACCAGTCTCACCATTGCATTTGAAGAGAGAAGATCATTTTCAGCTTCACGTATTGGCAAGAAAAATGGAACTGTATGTTCAAGAACAGTCATTTTCTCAAGAAATGACTTGCTTTCAAGCACACAATGGTAGAAGTCGCAAGGTTCTCCTGTTTGAAGTCCAACAATTGAATGGTTATAACTTTCCATTGTACAAACAAATAAGCACAGAATGAAAGAGGGGTGGGGGTGGGGGGGGGGGGGGGGGTTGTATAGCTTAAAGGTCGAATGTTTAATATTAAGCGGCCTCTATCATTGAAAAAATAATTATGTCACAAACTGCCCTTATTTATTTTTTTTAGTTTTTTTGGGATAACAATACCCATTTGAGGTTATTTTGGTGAAGTTCAATAAAACTCGCTCTAATGCCAGATGTAGGCAGCGAAGATGGCAAAAAATTTAATGAAGCTTCTTTGAACATCAAAAAGGAACTACAAGATCTGTTATTCATTTGAGGTTATTCTGGTGAAGTTTGACAAAACTTATTATAATGGATCATCTAGATGAAGGCAGTATAGATTGCAACAAATTTAGTGAACTCATTTGAATGTCAGAAGGAACTATATTTTCTGCCAGGAAGAGGTTCAAAGGCTTTTAGTTGCAAGTAAAGTTAACGATGAGTGATGACATCTCAATTTAGCTTCTTCTAAGTACTTAATATGTAACTGCATCAATTTAGTACTGGTATCTTTTAAACAACTTCTATTTTATCGTTCACAAAAATGGAACACTATCAAATATGATCCAATCAGAAACAAGAAATGAGAGAAAATTGTTATAAACTTTAAGCAGCACCAGATATTTTTTTCCCCAATTAGTAATAATCCATACTCGTATGAAACCAGAAAGTTTGTAATTACCAGCAAATGATGTCTCATATTGTATGCCAATCCTTGCTCCTTCCAAACAGAAAATTGTCTGCTCATAAAGAATGCCTTGTTAAGTAGTCAATCATGTTGTTCATAGTCAATTAAAATTGCTGCCATTTACCTAAACTTCAACACGGTCTTATGCAAAACAGATGCACAGAACAAAGGACAAGTGTGGAATTCTAATATTAGTTATTTATATAGTTATTGGTCTAGAATTACCTTTAGCAATTAAAGGTTCTCATTATTTGGAGTCATAATCCTTGTAGTAGGAGAAGTCCTTGAAGGAAATGTGGGCTTATGATTGTAATTTTGGTCCACCTGAATTAATTCAAAGGTTCAAACAAACCTCCGAGTCTACCAGCATACACTGCCTCCTAAATCACTTGTGCTCCAAGTTTACCACGGTTTAAAGGGATAAAATTCAACATTTCCGATAAGATAAATCGGTGGAAGTTTAACTATCTCCTGGGCACCTCCACACTGGAAATGGTATGGTCTAAAGAGGTGCCAGTGAGGCGCGCCTTGAGGCCTGCTTTACAGTGAAATGCACTTTTGTGCCTTGAGGCGGTACTTAACAGTACTTTTTCAATAAGACAGGCTTAGTACGTGCAACTCTCAAGGGGTGTGAGACGTGCATCTCAATTTTATTGGTTTTTCTTTTTTTATTCTTTCCCTCTTTTTTAAGTGTAAGCATGAGTTTCATATCTAAAAGGGGCTTTTTACATGGGCCCATCTTGTTCTCAAATGATAAAACAAAAATTGAGCCAATCAATTCTTTTTATTGTAGGATTAACCAGTAAAAAACCCTAAAGAACTCCACTATACTACCCCACGTCTCACCACTTCCAAGAAACAAGAGGCCTTCTACAAAACTCAAGGCGCAATTCTAAAATTTCCAGCAGGTAATATGCCTTTATTTATATTTTTTTTATTAATATCATCTCGTCTCTGATTTTAATTTTTTTTATCTTTTTGTATTTCTCAAATTCTTCTACCACAAGATTGCAAGGCAGCCACGCAATCACGCATATAATTCAGCAAAAATTCCAATTCTTCTGATTTTAAAATTCTGGCAAAAAATTTCTTTCGTATTATTTTATAATTTTGACGTATTATTTTAGTTTGTGGAGGCCTCGCTCCGCCTTGAGGCTTACTCCTCGCCTCACGAAGGAAAAATGCCTTGGTACCTATTTACGCCTTTTTAAACATTGGGAAGCGTACAGCATCACAAGTCTTTCACCCCTAAATCACTTGTTATCAAGTTCACTCCAGTTTAAAGGGATAAAATTCAACATTTCCTATAATTGAATCAGGTGGTAGCTTAATTATACTCCTAAGGGCACCACACAGGAAATGGCTACTAAAGTGTGCCACCTTAGTATGCATAAGACTATTAATTCTTTCCTTCATATTTAGATTTGGTTCAGAACAGTATTCGATATTCCCAACAAGAAAACAAGAAGACTTCCCTCCTAAGACAAGGAGGGAACTTGAGTACTCCACTAGTAACTGCATGTGCATAATGTGTAATACAGGCTGCCGGTTAATGCTGAATTCTTATACCAGTGAATATACCAGTGAATGTCAAGTGTTTTAGAGGTAATCAAAAGATCGGTATGCTTATGCCATTCAAGAAGCAAGAAACTAATTCATACTAAGGCCTAAGCCATGGGGAAAGCACTAGGCACGAGTGCTACAACTCACACAAGTACTCTTAATTCTTCAACAGCATATTGTTGATCACATCTATAAGGCAAATCTTACTTTATCATCTAGAAAATGAAATTGGTGCATGACCAGTACTAAACGGGTAGAAGTTGGTTGAAACTTGTCTACACTTCCCTTTCTTCAATACCAGGAAAATAGAAGAATACCATCTCAGTATGACACCGGAAATCCAAAAACATAGTTGATAGTCCTACAAAATTCCGGGATTTATTAAGAGACATTAACAAGTATTCCTAACAATCATAAAATACCTTATTTCCAGCTCTATAAGTAATTTTTCCATGAAAAGGAAGTACTGGCTGCAATGCAGTTGTATCCCCTGACAATTGTGCTGCCTTTCTTTCAGCCTCCATGTGAACCTACCATAAATAACAACATAGTGTGCCTCTGAAAGTGGAAACTTGTATGAAGACATGATACGCTACCAACAAGTAAGCAGCAAAATCAGAGCACAAAAAGATGCACATGAGAAAACGGAGAGAGATAAAAAAATTCCACAATCACTGTTTTCCCAATGAAATTCAAAAATGACTTTTTTTTCTATAAAGAAAAGCAATTTCAATTGAATTCTCAACTCTATAATCTCCATGGAAAATGAAAAGAATTATTACTAAAACTACTAAACCGAGTTACTGAAATCATACCTGCTCCCTTATTGTTGCTAATAAACCATCATTCCATTGCTCACCATCTAAGTATATTTCTGCAAATTGATTAACATATTTACAAAACTAACAAAAGATGATATTTGAAGTGTGACAAAGGTATTTAATAAAGTTCCACGTGCATTATCCACCAAGTCAGAAGCAATTCAAGAGGCTAGCGAAAGCATATAAAAATCTTCAATATAAAAATCAACACAATTTTCAGTTGAAAGTACAGTATACAGTAATGAGTGCCAAAACTAGTAACAAAACTCAGAAGAAGAAGATATGCATCCTACACTAATAAGCAACATGCAATATATCAATAATCTCGTGTGGTCAAAATATTTTGTGCAGATAAATATTCCAACTACCTAGCAGTTTATCAGTTTGGGAATTTTATTACAGTATAAATAGTAAAAGGAAAATGCAAATATGTTTTATGTCTTAATTGTATATAGGACTGCCAATGAATTGGGTTTTGATCCGAATCCGATGAGATTAATAGGAGATGGATTTGGGATCTCAATCTGATAACCAGATCAAGATCCGAATTCGATAATCCATTAACTAAATGGATCATATATGGATATATGTCAATTCGATCTGATAACAATCTGATCTGATTTGTTATAAATAATTGAATCACTAAAATAAATAAATGAGAAAATAAGTAAATTTAGAATAAAAAAGTCATCAAATTCAAAACATAAACAAATTTAAAAATTTATAATTATTAAAACCATTTAAGAATTAGAAAAAAAAATTGATTCCAACATTGATTTTTTTCCTAATTTCTTTAATATCGGATCGAATATCCGAAAACATAGCAAATCGGATATGGATTTCACAATCAAATATCCGTTGGATTATCGAATCAGATAATTATTCTTATCAGATCGGATCTAATATAGGCAGATCCATTTACACATATTCACGCGTGCATGGAAATCATGACTTTAATGCGATCTCCACAAAATTCACATCGAATTAAGAACATTAAGAAAACTATATCTTACAAGTGAATGGTGATAGGTAAAATCAGTTTTCAAGTAATCTAAGGACTAAGATGTTATGATAATAGGAGAGATAATCATCTTATTATAAGGATAACAATTAAAACTATGAGAATGGAAGTAGAATTGAAAAGAAAATGACGACGTACACAATCGGACAAGAACTCGAATTGCAGAAGAGGAAAAGGGGAGAGGAATCAAAGAGATAGATGTGAGACAAGAGAGAGAAGCGGAAAGTTTATTCAATTTATCAAAGGCAAGTAAAATACAATGCATAATCCCCTCGTATTTAACTAATCTAATTTAAGTAGAAACAACTAAATAAATTATATAAAATAAACCCTATTTACTATTCCTAAAATAAGAATGAAACTAGGGAAGTCTCCATATAATACATCTAATAGGATGGTGGGAACAATGAACAAAAACTGGATTTGTAGAAGGATGGGAAACAGGAAGAGAATAAGAGAAGAGGAGGAAGTGAGGAAAAAAGAGGAGGAATCAGAGAGACATATGAGAGACATATGAGAGAGAGTGTTTATTCAATTTATGAGTCGCTAAAATAAAATGCAAAAGCCTTCCTTTACATAGGGTTTTATCTAATCTAATTTTAAGTGGAAACAACTAAAGAAATAACATAAAATACTAGAAAATCTACAAAATAAAACATAATTAGTTTTCCTCAAATAAGAATCCAGCTTACAAAATCTTCGTATAATATATCTAATAGGATTTCCATCAAAACATTGATATTTCTTTTCGTGTCTAAGGTCCTTTAAATTTAAAGAAATAGGATAATAATATGTAATTTCATTATCACCACGATTTCTAATTATGGGCGAGTTGACTGACTTTCCAGATTATTCATTTGAAGTAACTAGAACAGTTTTCACTTTTCACAACTCATCCTTTCTAAACTTACCAACTTCTTTGGTTGTTAAGAAAATATGGAGTCTACAACTTAAATTCCAGAAAAACATTAGGCGCCCAGAACTTCTACGTTGAAAATAAACTCCTAGTGAGCCAACAAACATCTTTTTGTATTTCCCTTCAATCTTCAATAAAGATGGGTTCACTGCTGTATCCAATATTATGTATCATAATTACTACTTTCTACTTAGTGGCTAACAAAAGAAAGAAGTGGCAAGATATTATTACACATGCAGAAGGTGGAAATTTTGTCTAAGTTTCTATTCTCCCAAACAGGTGTTTGCAGCTTTTGGCATATGAAGAAGTGGTCGGATCACAAACTGTTACATGAGGGTACAATTTCTCCAAAAACCTGTTTTTTATTTTCTTCCTAAGTTTTTGATTGGGTTTCACTCCTATGTTGATATCTTAGCAGGTTAATGCATATATGTTTCCTTATCTTGCGTGGCTTACATATCTGCCGGTTCCGTCCTTGCTTGGCAGTTGAAGTTAATTTAATTATTTCAAAAACTTACAAAAAAGACATACAAATCACAGATGATGCAGGGAACATTATGAGCCAACAACATATGCCCACATGCAAAGAAGCACAAAATGGCAGCCACCAACAGTATTTTCAAAATCTTATACGAACAGTAAAAAATACAGTGCTCAAAAGATTTTATCTAAAGCTACCTTGAGTTTGAGAAGCACGGGCAGCTTCAAATTCCCTTTGCAAACGCTCAAAGACCGTCTTTTCAGAGTCCCTAATGAAATCAACAGCTTTTAGAACCTCTACTATATATTATTATAGCCATTCACTAAAAAGAAAAGGTCTACGTGAAAGAATAATAGAGCTGATTTTCCCTTGCATTAAAAAAACACCATGATGACAATAATGATGATTGGAGAATATTCTATATTTACAAACCATCACTCGAGTTTTTTAACTTTTTACATCACTAAGCCTTCCTAGTTTTACAAAGGGGTGGACAAATTAACCGTGTTCCCAGGCAAGGCCCATCCACTCTCTGGAACATTCTTTTCATCATGAGCCCAAAATGATCCCATACAATAATGTCAGTACAAACCCAGCACGTTAACATCTGGTTGCAAAAAATGGGTAAAGAACAAGAACAGTAGAGAACTGAAGCCAAGCCTATTCATGCGCAAAAAGTAAGTCAAAGTGAAAATAAAATGATCTTATAAAGTTGAAATTTCATATTTTAAGCTGCAACGTCATAGGAAGTCCATCAGCGTTCTACAATACACATCTTGATAGAAAATAAGCGTAGACTACGATTCAACATGTTAGCCCGAGCCCATAAGAGATTTACGAGATCTAAACGTGATCCAGAATCCCCTGTGAACATTAACACCATTTCAGCCCCAGTACTGGATGGACATTACAAATCCATGTATTTCTATCCTTCCTAATACAATCACTGTATATGAATAATACTATAATACAATCTAAGAATATTGGTAGAAGAGAGACAGAAAGACAGACATAGTTCATTTTTAGATCAAAAACTTCTAACATCCTTCTAATTCCACAAACAAACAGTTGTCTTACAGACTTGCACTATTGCAATTGTATAAGTTAATACCGGCCCAGAAACAATTTTAGATATTACCAACAAGATATGTGGTCATTGCTATCAGGCACTTTACAAAGAAATTCATCTCATGGATCATTCAAGCATCAAATCCACAAAAATTGGAGACTTCGCGCTTGAGGAAAAATGTCAATCATTTATGTCTAATCAATTTATTTCCCCATATGTAGGAATTACAAGTACTCTCCAATATTTGTACCTAGAAAGGCGCTCTTTTAGTGCTCCATGCCTTTTAAGGACATTTGAAACTGCCAGAAATAACAAAAATGTACATGTCTGATAACTGATGCATTACAAGGATACTTGAATCTTGAGATAACACAAATTATGCAAGAGTAAATACATCTCGCCCTGGTACTCTCCAGTTGTGCATCTTCCGCTTGCACAAAATTCTGGCACACAGAGAAAACAAGGGTACACTCATCAACATAAAAGTTATTGTCAGCCCGACTTCATACCCTAGGGCTCCCCACAACCAACCCCTCAAAATATATTTGATAATAAATAAATAAATAAAAAAGACCACAACTTTTAGAAATTGCCATGTATGATATAGTGTTGTAGCAGAAATCATGATATTGAAACCTTGAAACTCCTACATCAAATGTTCATTGATATGCCAATGACACACCATTGCATATTTACTAAGCTGTGGTATGGGTAACAAGTACAATGCCCATAATAAACTTGTAGTGGATGACATAAATATTTTTTGCCATTCCATCAGAGGAAAGCTACCTTTTCTAAAAAGATTCGAGGAAATCAAATATTTTGCAACCACCCAATTTTGGCCTCTCTTATAACATGACTAATAATATTGTGTAGTTTTGTGAATGGGAGATGCTTCAAAATTGAGCAAGACATGATAACTATCTAAGACATCCTTTCCTTATTTTATCCTCAATTTGCGCTAGCTACACTTATTAGATTATAACCCCATTTCTGATTGGATTTTATTGTGACTAAACATCCATCTTAATCTACTCAGTTCTATTCTGATTAATTTTTCAGCATTTTGCCCTTTAATATCCCAACTTCCAATAGCAAAACACAAATCTAAGTCCCTTCCACAAAAAGTGTGTGATGAGAAATGTATAGAATGCTTATCGTGCAAGAACAACAATAGAAGTGCCTTATTTAGTATGTCTTGCATGGATGTGAAACTTTTTCTGTTTCCAAATAGCAAAAGCATAATATTCCATCCCAAAATTCATCATTTTTAGATGAGTGATGCCAACACTTATAATTACAATAAACTTCCCAGTAATTTCTTGTTTACTTGTAATTTATCAAATTAAATTCGAAATATGAGAGACTGGCTTTTGGGAATGAGTAGACAGACAAATAGGAAGTCAAACATATGTGTTATAACTTCCTTACTGGCCATGAACTGCTTACAACCAAAACAAATACATGTTTAGGTCAATTTTATATATTTATGTGAACAAAATCAGGTGTCATGGTGTTTACAATTGATGTCTTCCTAAAGTAAAGCTGATAAAACATTTAGCATAATGGACTGCATAAGGTAGAATGAGAAAATGACATACTCTCGGATCATTCTTTAAAGCTACAAGTACAAAAAGTGAACGTTTCTAAACAAATTAATAGCCTTTTTATTAAACCCATATGCACAGACAACAAAAGAAAGACATATAAAAAGAACTAAATTTAGAAATTATCAATCAATGAGAACTGGTTCAGGAAAAGTTACCACTTCTCCCATATTCATTGGGATAGGCCTCTCCTTAAATTGATCGAATTGCTGCATTTATTCGAAGGTACCTATTCAGCAAGCCACTGATCATAACTTCCACATATAAAACTTGCGAATAAAAGAGGGTAAAAAACAGCGCAAAAATCGGATGAAATTTGAAAGTATGATTAAAGATTGAGAATTTTTCTTAAAATTGAAACAAATATGACATAAAAAAACTTTATGAAACTCGATTTCATCAATTAAAAGCAACAAAAATCAAGAATAATAAAATGATACGAGGGAAAAACGCATATCAAATAGAGTACCTAAACCTTGTAGAATTAAACGCCCAAATCTCCTGAATTTCTCTGGTTCTATTTGCTGTCGTGAGTCACCAAAAGCCCCTAGAGGGGCAGCCAGTGGGTGAGATTTTGGCTCGGCGATTCTGACGCTGTACCACCCTTTCGGGAGCAAACCAACGAGAAAAATATATTTTGTTATCAATTTGAAGTGGTGACCCATTTTCTAAAATTCATTTTTTACCCAGTAATTTTATTAACTTTTCACTCACGCGTTTAATCATATTCTATCAAAATATATTAAAATTTTGATTATTTTTTTATTAAATCAAATAGGGCTAAATTAAGTGTTGGGTTAATTTCACAAATGATCACTGAAATTCGAAACTTGCATAAATAGTCACTCAACTTTCAAGTGGTTTCAGAAATGATCACTGTAGTTAGTTTTAGGATTGTTTTGTTTTAATTCAAACCTAAAGCACCAGAACACGATCTCTTAAGAGACGGAGGACCTAAGAGCGTGTCTGGCAATGCGTTTAAGCAATTTAACGACCGTTATGAAACAAAAAAGGACATAAACGTCTGCCAGGAAATCAGAAATTTTATTCACTTTTCCCATCCATTTTACACATTTGCCCTCGTCATTACTCCCTCTTCTCCATCCACTCTCTCCCCCA